AAAATTAGTTCATATTCGATGCAAAAAATCCATACAAAATTGAAAAGAAAGCCGCGGCCATTGTCTTAGGAATTTGGCAAATTCAACTCGTCGAATGTTGACGAAGAGCGAAGTCACAGAGAATCATTCAATGTTTCAATTGGTCTTGACATACGAGTGAATAAAGCTACCAAGAGCCTATGCGAAGAAAAGTCAAAAGCTAAATCTCCATTAGTGCTAGTTCTCTGCCATTCCTATTTCCTATCTAATGCTCCTACTCTAATGCCCAGCTATTGTGCGACGCCCCCCAACGGTGAGGAAGAGTTCGGTCTTTTGTTCCCTTTTTCCAGTGCTGCCTTCCGCAAATTACCAAAAAGGGTCGTGTTTTGATATTTCAAATATGCCATTGGACGCCTGTTACTTGAACTCCTTCCTAATGACTGTCAAATTAGCACTTGTTATGATATTTTCGTTCTACTCCTTGAAATAAATGTAAAATATCAAAAGTGAGTAGAATCTACCAATTTATCCACATCGGGTCAGGTAATAGGGGAAATTAATAATAAAATAAATGATAAAATTGTAACCTATCAATTCCTCCTACACCTAAATCATGCTTGTCCTCAAGCATGAGAACATCAAACAAACACCAATATTTGACAATGGTCATTGCTCCATCTACCATATTGCCAAGATACCAAGAAAAACATATATCAAGTATCAGTGATCAATACCCAAGAAACATCACCCCGATTAGCTTCTAAATCACAAACTCCTTCAATTCTAAGTTAACTAATCTAAGAAAAAAGAATGGCACACAACATTTATCAGCAAATGGTCCAATTATTAACCAATATCTCAATATTAAATCCACAAATCGGCAAACTGACTTTTATCACACACTAACACAACTGTCACTTCTTTTTTTTCGTTATTTATTTATTTATTATTTTTTTCTTTTTTTTTATCAATAGCACAAAAGACTTAGTCTCTAACCATCGGAACCTTTTGACGTGAACTCCAACATTTGCCAGATGAAGGAGCCCGATTACTCAGCTCCTATCACTATACGACCACGTACTCATAGAAATTACTACTTTTTGAAGCGAGAATCGACACTTTAGGTGAAGATCCCCGATTACTCAGTAGCAATAAATAGTGGAGTACAGTCAACTTTATTTCACAGTCAGATAACATAATATCTCACAATATCACAAAGAAAAAGCAGCTAGCCTCATTTTTTCCAAACATGGAGAACTAAAGTTAATCACTGGACCAATTCACATGAAAATGTCAACAATAATTTTCAGTGCCTAGAAAAGTTAACCAAAAATTAGAAGAGTCAAATAATCACCGATATTCACCAAAGAGATGTTCTTGGGTTCAACCACATTAACTAGATACACTTTTATTATTAAAACTTGACAATAGTAGAATTAAAGTCAATAACCAAACATTAAATTTTGGCATTCACATGAGAGCTAAGCACTAAAAAGAAAGAAAGAGAATGAATGAAAGATAGACAAATAACTAACTAAAAATAAAGGAAAAAAATAGAAACTAAAAACTAGTAAAACTAGCACCACAACTGATCTCCCCCCACACCTAAACGATACATTGCCCTCAATGTAACAAATAAACATCAAAAGTAGGAGACAGGGCAACAAAACTTTCCTGAAATTGGGTCAAAGTGATGGGTAATAACCAAAATGAGGTGTAAGACCCACATGATGCATGAGGGCTGCCAAATACAAGTGGGTTTCCGAAGCACGATGATGGAGCGGCTGGAAGTGGCGGCGATGCGACGTGAATGGTGAGCGAGATAGCGGCGGGCGTGAGGGGTGCTCGGCCGAAAGAGAAGAAGAAACAGGGGAGAAGAAAGAAAGAAAAGAGGAAGAAAGAAGAAGAAAGAAAGAAAAACAAAATAATTTTTTCTTTATTTTTTCATTTTTAGATTTTTATAAATTCTAATTTTGGAAATCAGAAGTTACAGCTAAACGGAAAGACCCATTTTTTTTTGTAATTAAAATTTTTTTTTAAAAAAAATCTTTTTTAAATTTTTAAATTTTTTATTTATTTATTTTTAATATTATTATTATGAACAAAACTTATTGTCGAAATTCAAAATTAAAGAGTAACAGAAAATCGAAATCTATTTTCGAATTTTGAATACTAACTTTTCCCGTGAACGTGACGTGGGCACGTCAAAAGGGCAGGAACCCTTCTGACCATGAGCTCTCCATACGACTTGACGCAGGCGCGTCAAAAAGGCAAGAACCCTTCTGACCATGAGCTCTCCAAACGACTTGACGCCGGGGCGTCAAGTAAGAAAGACACCTACGAATCATAAAAAATGAAAATTGAAACCCAAAATCAGTCAAATTCAAGGAAAACATATTTAAACTAACAAACAAAAACGAAAAAATGACTAAAAGAAATTGGGTTGCCTCCTAATGAACGCCTTTCTTTAATGTCTTTGGCTAGACATTGTTATGTTTGTTCATGGAGGATAAAATTTTGTGGCTCGTTTTAATGATTTATCCTCTATATAATCCTGATAACCCTCGTAAATAGAGTAATCCTTGAGCACACGAGTTACGGTCTTCCATGGACTAGTAAATGGCGCCAAACAAGTCAATGATAATTTGAATTCTCCACTCACCCTTCCTTCACATGCATTTATTGGTCCAAGATATCTTACCATCGCCACTCTTAATTTATTCCTGTCATGAAATTCAAGATTTTCTGGTATAATAAAGTCAATTTCATTAACAGGAATTGAAAAATAAGAGTCAGGAGAATATTGATTAAGGAATGGAGGAGATGTCACCGCATTTGGAGGTTGTTCACTAGATTCATTCACTTGGACGAGTTGATATTGGGGGCTCATTTTTTACACATCAACTTCCTTTTCAACTGCATATTTAGATTCGTTTCCTTGAAACTCTTGCAGTTCCATGTCATTTGGTCGGATAATTGCACTCTCATCTTCTTCAAGGTTGATATTGGTTTGTGAGGGCAATTCTTCACAAATGTGAGAAGCCAATTGTGTTATCCTGGATGTCAATAGATGCACTTGATCTGCCATCCCGGATGTCAATAGTTGCACTTGATCCGTCATGTTACGAATACTCATTTGTGTCTCCTGATGAAATCGATATGTATTAGCAGTTAGTAATTCAATAATTTCTTCAAGAGACATACCTGATATGGATGATGGTTGTTGAGACTCTTGCTGTTGAAAATCTATTGGTCCGGTCGCATAATTAAAATTGAAATTATCCCACCATCCTTGATCATACCTGTTTGGGTATGGGTCATACTACATTTGAAATCGAGGTGAAAAATCTCTAAAAGTAACAATTGGAACACTTAGATTATCTTGAAATGCAGGGCATGTGTCGGTTGAATAACCTGAGACAAAATAAGTTCCACAATTTGCAACAACCCATTGATCATTAGGAAAAACACGAGTCTCATAACCCCATTCAGGAATAAAGTCCAGTCTATTATCAAAATACGGAATGTTAGTAGCCATAAACTATATAAAAAAATAAGAGAAAAATAAATAAAAAAATGAAAACAAGATTACTCAAAAAGAAACAAATTAATCTGGCACCAGTCCCCGGCAGCGGCGCCAAAAATTGACAGGTTGTCAAAGCCTGTATAATAATAAAATTAAACCTAATTGCCAGTTAAAATAACCAAAACCCGATTCCAAGTACTGGAGTAGGGACTTTAGGTGTGTAATGGGTTACTTAATTCACCCTATTCCCGAAGAGTTTGTTTGATCCGATATACCCGAATGGGGGGTTGTTTTTCACAAATAATTATGAAATTATAGACAGGGCAAGTAGGGTCGTATCCTCAGGGATTGGGGATATTTGTCTCTTTTGAAATTCAAAATAACACCGGGGGTGTTTTTGTATGAACGAGGACAATCAAAGAAATTCAAATAAAAATAAATAGCTAACTAGAAATTAAATGACAATTCACTAAAATTAAAGTAGCAATAATTAAAGGTCTAGTCAAGAAATAACTTCAGCAATGGTTCACCTAATTGATCATCGATGCACAAGCAATTCCAATTATTTATTAATAAATACTGGAGCAGGGACTCTAGGTGTACAACAGGTTACTTGATTCACCATGTTCCCGAAGAATTGCTTGATCCGATATACCCGAATGGGGGGCTGTTTTTCACAAATAATTATGAAATTATAGACAGGGCAAGTAGGGTCGTATTCTCAGGGACTGGGGATATTTGTTTCTTTTGAAATTTAAAGTAACACCGGGGGTGTTTTTGTATGAACGAGGACAATCAAAGAAATTCAAATAAAAATAAATAGTTAACTAGAAATTAAATGACAATTCACTAAAATTAGAGTAGTAATAATTAAAGGTCTAATCAAGAAATAACTTCAGCAATGGTTCACCTAATTGATCATTGATGCACAAGCAATTTCAATCATTTATTAATAAATAGGTTATAACTGCCAAACAAGCGATGACAATCAACCCCTCCTTACTACGTCGGTGATTAAAGTACGCCCGTTAACCACTGCTCTAATTGAGAAATAATCCTAGGTATGCCCGTAAGATTTAATTCCACAATTGTCTTACGTATTAGAGGAGCTCTATTCTAACCAAATAACGCACTACCAGGGTTATTTCAAATTAGCCCGCGTATCCCCCTGACACAAATCTAATCATGCCAGTTGTCACTAATTCAAGGCAATTAAACAATTACGGATTTAATGCCCTAATTGACAATAGATTATCAAGTTAACTAATTATCCGGATCCAAAACAATCAATTAATTAAATAATCATAAGTACTGCAATCAAGGAATATGCGAATACCAATAAATAAAAGGAAAGGATAAAATTAAATCGATCTCACAATTTTTAGGCGAGCCAGAGCCTCTCTTGTCCCTTGATTAGAGTGAGAAAATTAGTTCATATTCGATGCAAAAAATCCATACAAAATTAAAAAGAAAGCCGCGGCCATTGTCTTGGGAATTTGGCAAATTCAACTCGTCGAATGTTGACGAAAAGCGAAGTCACAGAGAATCATTCAATGTTTCAATTGGTCTTGACATACGAGTGAATAAAGCTACCAAGAGCCTATGCAAAGAAAAGTCAAAAGCTAAATCTCCATTAGTACTAGTTCCCTGCTATTCCTATTTCCTATCTGATGCTCCTACTCTAATGCCTAGCTATTGTGCGGCGCCCCCCAACGGTGAGGAAGAGTTCGGTCTTTTGTTCCCTTTTTCCAGTGCTGTCTTCCGCAAATTACCAAAAAGGGTCGCGTCTTGATATCCCAAAAATGCCGTTGGACGCCTGTTACTTAAACTCCTTCCTAATGACTGTCAAATTGGCACTTGTTATGATATTTTCGTTCTATTCCCTGAAATAAATGTAAAATATCAAAAGTGAGTAGAATCTATCAATTAATCCACATCGGGTCAGGTAATAGGGAAAATTAATAATAAAATAAATAATAAAATTGCAACCTAGCCCCTGGACGCCTATTACTTGAATTCCTTCCTAATGACTGTCAAATTGGCACTTGCTATGATATTTTCGTTCTATTCACTGAAATAAATGCAAAACATCAAAAGTGAGTAGAATCTAGCAATTAATCCACATTGGGTTAGGTAATAGAGGAAATTAATAATAAAATAAATGATAAAATTGTAACCTATCAATCATTGAAAATTCACTTTTGCTTGGATAGAGTGCGATAAAATACACACTCGCCCATTGAAAATCTATTTAGTAATCATTGGGAAACATTTAACATTCCAGCAACATTCACAACATTTCACATAGTCATTTAAAACATACACATGTAAGAAACACTCACCGATATCAGTAGAGTAAATGTCAAAAGTTCGTCCTCGGGTTATGCTCGTACTTACCAGTAAACCCTAAGAACAACCAAGATAAAGATATTATGGTCCAACAATCCAAAACTTAAGTGAACAAAGTTCGCATATTAGGCTCAATTATAAGCCACAAGCCTATACAAGATGGCCTCTCAAACACGTAGGGTTCAAGGGCAAATGTGAAGGTGCAAATCAAGGAAAAATCTAAATGTATTCTAAAAGTGAGGAGAGCAATTTAGGCATCCAAAATCTCATCAAAATAAGTTTTAAAACCCAGAAAATGTGGTCCAAAGTTTTCCAAGTCTCACTCAATCCATTTGATAAAATTTCTAGATTTGGTAACATTCTTTGAAAAAATATAGCTTGAGTTCCGTAAGTCAAAAATCATAAATCTTATACCGTTAGAAAATACACTCAAAATTCTGCAACTCTCTAGAAGACACCTTCATAAAATTCAGCCCATAAATTAGTCAAATCTCAATTTCAATTCACTACTCAACTAAGTGTAAAAATAGGACAGTTTTGGATTTTCAATCCACTTTGAAATTTTGCTGGTATTTATAGAAAGTGAACCAAACTATGGATTTTACACGGTAAAAAAAACTATGAGTTTAGTTTCAAACACAATAAACGGAACTCAATTTTGACTTTTCTACACAAAGTTATAGCAAATTTTTCAAATCTGTGCAGAGCCTCCTGTGGAAAATTTTCAGCACGCTAATAGTTTGGAAAACTAGGTTTTTCCTTTCTTAAATCTCTTTGTTTTGGCTCAAAACTAACACACATGCAAAAAAAATAGCTTGTAACAAGTGTTTTGAGTAAAATCATATGCAATAGGAAGACGAAATATCCTAAATTCACACCTTAACCTTCACTTAACCAACAAGGAGAAAACTCCAGCATATGTCTCCAAACTTTTTCAAGTTAATCATCCAATTCAAGTCTTCAGCACGCTAATAGTTTGGAAAACTAGGTTTTTCCTTTCTTAAATCTCTTTGTTTTGGCTCAAAACTAACACACATGCAAAAAAAATAGCTTGTAACAAGTGTTTTGAGTAAAATCATATGCAATAGGAAGACGAAATATCCTAAATTCACACCTTAACCTTCACTTAACCAACAAGGAGAAAACTCCAGCATATGTCTCCAAACTTTTTCAAGTTAATCATCCAATTCAAGTCTTAGTTTCATAGTAAATAAACCTCAATCAAGGCCACAAGTGATAAGATACAAAATTTTCTTATTCTAAGCCATAAAACCAACTAAAGTAGGTATGTACCAAGCATATCTTCAACATATATCCAAACTGGAAAATTTCTTCTCAAAGCTGGAAATTTACTACTAAAACTTGAAAATCATACATAGAAGCTAGAAAATCTCATTCCAAAGCTCATAATGTGACGCCCCCACTTCTCCCTAAGGCGAACCAAAGGGTATCCGCGGGACGCCTGCCCAGCTCTCGCCAGGACTCACTACAATCCATCATTCAAGAGCTCGAAATACTATAAGTAACTTCAATACATAATTAAAGTACTTCAAATATCTCACACCTACAATTATGTAGCTTTCAAGCTTAAATACAACCCAACGGAAAAGGGTACAATAGCCATCCGTTATAATATAACTTAAAGTTTTCAAAAGAAAACAATCTAGTACTACTCACGGGCACCCTTGGTCTCGAACCCTGTAAAAGAAATCCACAACGTGGTATGAGCTACACAGCCCAGTGAGGTTCCAAGACACTCTAACAGTTCAAATAAATCAAGTAAGTTGGGCATATCATATGCATGGTTCAAGGTTACACAATGGCATGTTATCATGAGGTGATAATCATTGTACGGGTAATTTGAGACATTTATCATGGTATGAGACATTAGCATGTATAGTTCACGAGTGATTGGAGCTTATTACAGGCATAGCTCAGGATTTCATGTTGGCATTTTAGCACGAAACAATCATCATGATACAAGGTAAACATATACTGTAGGATACGGTATTCCAGCGGAACTCTGTCGGTCATCTGCACCTTATGACTTCCGGATCCCCTCGGTTTGACTGGCCATCACCTTATCCCTCCAGTGGTAATACTCGAGTATACCGAAACGGTTGTCCAGGGCTCCAACCTACCCGACCGAGCCCAGTCCTAGCTCGAGTAGGTCAGTAACCGAGGCAGGGCCCAAGTTCAGCTTATAGCTGACAACATGCACAGGTAACCAAGTAATTCGACAAAAATAAAATTCATCATTTAAATAGGTCGAATGAGGTAAAGTACACACTCGCCTAACAATGATGGACAACTTCATATAACATGTGATTCATGATAATCAAGTAAGCAAGTAACCACATAGATTAGAAAACGGTAAGTAAACACGGTTAACAGTAAACGGTAAACGGTTAACGGTGGTAATTACGGTTAATTGGTAGACATATGTCATTTTAATAGGCCGCCATTGGCCGTTTTCCACTTTTACCACGTAAGAGTCAGGGAGATTCACTCCAACCGACTTATGCTGCCATAGCATAATTAATCATGTAAACACATCATGTATATATATGCTCTCCAAGCATTTCATATCTAGCATTTCAAGTAATCACATAAATATGCTCTTTAAGCATTTCATATCGAATAGTTCAAATATACATACTTCAGGTATTTCATGTCGAGCAATTCAAGTATATCTCATTCGAATATGCATGAGTGTGGTAAATTCTTATCATATAGCACTTAACACTTAATGACCATGGGTTAAGCATGTCATGGACTTATTCCAATTACGTATTCCTATATGGAACACTCACCTATAGCAACAAGAGAGTAATACTCAAACAAATGTCTAGGCGTCCACTTCGAGTTCCTCTTGAAGGTCCCCTTGAGCGCCTGGGCAAATAACCATTAACTATTATACACTATCACTTAGAACCCCTACTTATCAAAGAAGGTTGTACAATCTAAGGAGAATTCATTAATTGGGCCTTAATTATTAATAATCAAGGCTCAAGAGTAAAGTTTTAAAGTCTAAAGAGAGAGACTAACATTTTCCATGAAATCGAGTTCAAAATGTTCAATCGCTATCGAGAAAAGAAGGCAAGTTTCCAAAATCTCATTTTCTAAGAAATTGACAAATTTCAGCTTTGGGTGTCAATTTTAGAAAAATTGTATCTTGCACTATGTAGGTCCAAAATTGGAAAGCTTGATACCGTTGGAAACTTCTTCAAAAGCACTAAAAGTTCCTAGAAGATACTTTTCCATGATTCCAAACGGAAGGTATTCAAAAATTGACTCAAGGTTGCTGCTTTGGACCATTAAGACAGTTCCGGGGTTGGTTTTTGACCAACTTTGAAAATCCAGTAAAATTCACACAATACGAACTAGCCTCCGAAATTTAGAACTCAATTAGAGCTACAATCAAAGTTTAAAACAAAACAAACGGAACAAGAATCAAAGTTTTGAGCGCCAAGATATAGCAGCTCAAAGTTGGCTAAAATTTCCTCCTCGATCAAGAATTTCCAGATTTAAACATGAACTTTGGGACGTTGGTTGAACACTGAAACGGACTTGGAATGGCACCAAATTTGGCAGTATTATCCTACCATATAAGGGCTATTTCTCTACCAAATTTCGTAGGAAAATTCAATCGTAAACTTGGTTAACGAAATCACTAAAGTCCCAAGAAGTTCCTCGGCAAATCTGCCTTGGACTTCCGTTTTTCCATTTTCAAAACGTTTGGCCAATAAAACACCTCAAACATGGTTCATTTCATTAGATAATGTCTAAGGTACATTTGATAGGTGATTTATACCAAGAAGCTTCAGAAAACAAGTCCCAAATCATTGTTAGTTACAAATCTGTGCAAGTGGAAAATTCTATCACTGTAGCAGTTTCAAACATTGGCCACAACTCACTCAATTTAACTTGGAATTGGGCATGGTTAATGGCGTTGGAAAGCTCTCTCATAAAGATAAATTTTCTCAGAAGAAACCATTTTCAAATTCCATTCACAAACAGCTCGTTTTTGAGCATCAAGAAGCAATTTCTGTCCTGTCTCCTGGAGAGCAACGAAACAGGACAGTGATTTTCAATCGAATGGTGTGGCTCACTCAAGTGGAACCAGAATGTCAAATTGGTACCAATGGAAAGCTGGGAATATCTAGTTTCCAGTGCCGCAAACGGCACTTGATTTCGACATCGGAGCAAAGAGTTATGGTCGATACAAAATGACTGCCTGGCCAATACGGGATTCATTTTCCAGTTTTGCTGACTTTGGAAATCAACTCATTTGACCAACCAAATCATGTTATTTTTCGATGAAATTTTGTACACACTCACAATAACATGTAAAAAACATAATCAAGTCATTAGAACCTCAAAATGTTGCACAAAAATGGTCGGACAAGGCAGGGGTAAAACGGTCACTTTTTACTCCATGCACTCCTTGAAGTTTCTACTAGTTATACACCATTAATCTACCATTTTGAGCACTAAACCAACATTAAATCCATCATTAAGCATGATATCAGTCCCCAAGACAAAGGTGGGAGTTCATAGAGCCCACCCATTTCATTTTACACCATAAACAAAGCTACCCACATGATTATATAACCGTATATGTGCAATATATCTTACAAAAACTAAGATCTATGGGTTGGATGATTTGCTACCTTCTTGGATGACTAGATCAGAAATTTTTGGTCACTTTGAGCCTCAAGAAAACCGTGGAAATGAAGCTCCCCTCCTTGCCTAGATGAATCTCCAAGTTGTTGTGAGTTTGTGGTAGAAATTTCAAGTGATTTGGTGCAAGTTTGAGAGGTGAATGAAGAAGGAATTTTGGTCTCCTTCTCTTGGTGTTGCACGGCTGGTTTGAGAAGGAAAAGAAGAATGGTGGCTGATGATAAGCTTCCGTAGGAAGCTTTGATATTTGTGGCCCAAAATTGGTTCCAAAAGTCAACCTTTCAATAGCGCGCGAACACGCGCGTTTCGTGCTCGTTTCCTCTCGCGTTTGTTTCACTAGTGCACTAAACCTCTAATGCACTTATATTCATATAACTATTATTCACTCTTAATTGTCCCAAAATAAGAGTCTAAAGTTCCTAAATTAAAATCACGCGTGTGAAAACGCGTATCTCCAATCTGAGCGCGATAACGCGAAACTTCCGAGAAATTCTTATAACGATAGTACTAATAACTATCACTTGACTATTTAAACATTAAAATGCCTAATTTAGGTCCATTGTACATGTCTCCAATATTTCAAACCTATTGTACTCTCAATCGATCAAGATTTCCAAAGACGTGTTCACTATTTTCACTAAACGAGCTTCAGGAAATTAATTCGTGAAATGAGTTACTTTAAAAATATAACGAAGTTATATTACCATGTATTTAGGTCTAATAAGACTAGAAAATATTCCTCGAGGCAAATATCCAATTAAATAATTTATTAAGCCACAAATTAGGCTTAAAAATAATAGTTTTTACGAATCCTCACACATAAGTTCATCCAACCTCATATCAAAACTAAACCATTCATATAAAGGCTAGCCAACACATTCCAAAGCTGAAAATTTCAATCTACTAAGCAAAACCATGAAGCCTTCCATAAAATCCATCACAATCAAGTCATATGTTGCTTAAATGGCAAAATAAGAAAGAAAAAGAGAGGTTTCTAGTATAATACCTCAAAACCCCCAAAATAAGTTGCAAGACAAGAACTTTCTTCCTCCCAAAAGCTCTACCAAGCTCACCTCCAAGCTTCCCCAAGATTGATCGGAGTGGATTCGAGTTTCACGTTTTCTCAAGAATCAAGCAAGAAATCAAGATAGAAGTTGAAGGCTTTCCTCTCCCCTTTTTGCTCTCAAATTTTTGGCCAAGATGGAGGAAAGTTTGGTTAAAATGTAAGATAAGGACTAAAGAAAAGTCTTGGTCAATGGAAGCTTCAAGCATTGACACTTGGCAGCTTAGAGTTTCATAACTATCCCTTTGTCTCTCTTGTGTCTCTAATAACCAATCTATCTTGTGTTCCTCTAATACACTCTTAACACTTCTAATCACATAATTCCTATAGTACCACACTCATTCTCGTCCATCAAATAACGCACACATCTCACTAGTCGGTCATACTACCTTAATACTCTACAAAACTTAACATGCACTAAAATAATAAAAATGAAATGATAAAAATCTTAACTTAACCTTTAAAATCACTATTAAATTAAGGTTAGCAAATAAGCAGGTAAAGTAAAATAAAAGAAAATATAAATTAAATTTTTAAAAATAGGAGAAAATTTAAAATAATTTTCGGGTCCTCACATTTACCCCCTTTTTTTTCTTTATTTAATAACCATAATTGTTTCCCCCAAGATCTTTTGTTTTGACTCTTTTTTCAAACCTTATATTGAAGGGATGTCTAAATTTGATCACATGAAAACTGAGATGCTTCACAAGTGTTTGAATATGCTGAGGAATCATGAAAAATTTGAAAAAAAAAAGCTGAAAAAGCAAAAAAGAAACAAAATGAAGAGACGCAAAATTTTGTGCATAAGTTTTAAAATAGTAGAGGCAAATTGCTGAAAAATGTTTACACTTGTTGAGTTGATGAGTGGGTGCTAAGCCTTGGACGATTGAGTTGAGAAAATTTTCATATGATGAATTCTTGACATCCTTTTGACATATTTACACCTCCAATTTACCTTATTATTCTAACTCTTACCCTAACTGTGAAACCCAAAATTTTTATTGTATAACTAATAATAATAATAATAATAATGATGATGATGATAAATGTCAATAATAGAGGGAGTTAAGTTTGGATGGGTAGTGGGTAGTATCTTAACCCCCTTATTTTCAGATAAAAGAGATTTATCAGGAACATGGATAGAGAATGGGGTGGAGTGATTGTGATAGGGAAGTTATCAATGGAAAAACTACTCTGACAGGATATCTATCTATAACCAAAACTCATAGACGATACTTTTTTTCTTTAACTCTTTCCTCTTTTTCTATTAAACAATGCAATGCCAAAGAGTGTCAGAGAGGGATGAATTGTTTCTGACGATCAAGTAGAAGTTCATATAGGATAATCAAGACTGAATCATTAAGCAAGTTCTCAAAAGTTTATTATACTTTTCCTTTTCTTTTGGGCTAATCAATTTTGAGATACTGTTCTATTAAATTTGTTATAATTCATGCTTGTTTACACTTTGGTTACCGAGATCAAAAGAAGATTCATGTCTGATTTAGGCTTTATGGCGATTATCGATGCTTGGTTGGGTTAAATTATCCATGTTGGACACATGAACAGAATTAAGCAAATTTAATGATTTTGGGATTTAACTGCAGGAAAAAAATTCATTAAGTTAGGAGAGTAGTGGCAATAACTAAACTACAACTAATGCTGCAACATATTACTCTAGCGAACTACGACCACAAGAAGCAGTAACTAATAGGAGTTTGATCATACCCCATTCAAAAGGACATAGACTAGTGGTAGAAATCCTTTCGTAGAAGATTTCCAAGGGTGAATACATTAGTAAGGTACGACACTTAATGTTAAAGCATGATACCAAGCCCCAAAAAAAAACTAGGAGCCAATTTGTACGCTGTCTCTTTTAGTGATTCACTATGGGTATGACAGAAATCAATGGGCTAATAGTTACTGAATTGGAAATAGGGAGTAAAGAATAGTGATTGTTCTCTTATCATAACTACGCATCCAAGAAATTAGGCTTCAAAAAGTTCAAAAGGTTGGAGAATTTGCTAGAATACTAGTGATAAAACACACACTTGTTTATTAGTAGATTATGTATAGAGCTTTTTGTGTAATCTTAATGAGCAATTAGGATGGTGATATTGGTGGAGATAATGGCAGTGATGGTAATGATTGTTAATTGAAGCAATTGATGAAAGAATTGTGCCTTTAAGGTTTGAGATTTAGGGATTGGTTGATCTGGAAATAGTTGACGAAGATGAATTTGAACTTATTTAAACAATTTACATATTGGTCCATAATTTAAAGATAATTTCACCTAGACCAAAATTTTTTCCCCCCGGTTAGAAACGGGGCGGGGGAGTGTACCCCCGCCCCATCCCCCGCCCTGCCACCCGCTTTAAAAAAATAAATATATAAAATATATATGTATATAATTATATATATAATATATAATTTAATTAGTTACAAACTTATGATAATGATATTATTAGTTATATGTATTATATAATGTCTATTAGTATATATAATATAATTGATATTATTAATTATATATGTGTACTAATACAAATTATTAATTGGTTATACTAAATTTACTAATACATTTATACTAAATCCCTAATTACACTTAATACAATAACATTTTTTTCTTAAAAAAAGCACAAGCACAATAATGAATTAGTGATTGTATTTGTGTCAAAAGTAAAAACTTGACTACTTTAATTATATGTATTTCATCATATTGGATTGTATTCAAATAATTTTTATTTGATTGTTTTTATAAGTTTCAATTGTAAAATTACAATGAATAATAATTTGATGATGTATTGATATTTTAGTACTTGATTATTTGCTAAAATTTAACCATAATAAAATTATATAACAATTTTTTATTAACCCCGCGGGTGGAAGCGGGGCGGGGACGGGGCGGGGGGAGCGGGGGATGGGGCGGGGGCGGGGGGAGTTTGTAGGCAGCGAGGGGTCCCCCACCCCAACCCCGCCCCATTGCCATCCCTATTCTTATAAGAGTTACTGTATGACTTTCTAAAATTTCAAATTTATTCCCTCAATTTATGGGTAATTTTGATAAAGCCCAAGTTTATGGCTTTTAATTAGACACATTGAAGAATTTATTTTAAAAGTCCAATCTTACTATAAGGACCCAATTTTCGCTAAATGGACCCAAGAGCTCTTTTAAATAATTCAAGTAATTATAACAAAAATAAAAACTATAAATCTAAATATAAAAATAAACAAGGGTATTTGTTTTCATTAATGGCATTAGCTCTAGGTTCAAACTACAATTCAAATTCAACTTGAACTAATGCAGGGTCATTTCTACAGAAGTAATAAATAAGTAAATAAGTCAAATAAATAAACGTGTATAAATCATGCTTATTTCATGGATAACCAAATTATTGAGCTTTCTAAAAGAAAAGGAAGCTTTCTAAATTGAGAAACTTTAAAAAATGGATAACCTTCTATATTGGGAAACTATTCAAGTACATTTTAGAGAATGTCCAAACATGTTTTCTAGGTTATTTAAGGTAGGACTAGGCACTTTAAGAATAAGATAATTGAATTAATTAGGGTATATATGTTATTGGTTATAGGTTTGAAACAAGTTTAAGGGCGTGCTAAGAATCTCTTCAAGAGCGTAGTTTGAGGTAGGTGATACTTACCTCTTTGTATTTTCAAAATGTTAAATATGAATTTTTTTCAAGTAAACATATTTTCAAATAGGTTTGAAGAAATGGATCATGTATACCTATTTGAAACGTTTTGCCATGCTTGAAATTACGAAACGAGTGGCATATTTTCATGAAATGAAGAAAATATGCACGTGACTTGTAAAATGATTTTATGTTACGAAAAACTCTAAACGGTCATGAAATAGATGGTAGGATCTATAGTCCTGATATATTATGTTATGTTAGTCATGGGAGTCGGTATAAAGTCCGGCCGATTGACTTATGTTATATTATGTGATCAAAGGGTTTACGCGAAATCTCTTGGTCACCCTCCTTAAAGGGGTTTAATCTCTAAATTGAGTACTCAGAAATCGGATATTGCATGTACTTGTTTATGAGCTATGTTTATGAAATGATATGATATAATTGATATGTTTTATGATTTTCAAGTATGTTTAATGAATACGATCATGTCATGTTATGTGTGTTTC